GTTCTACTCACAGTGTATTTCTCAGGTGGGGAGTGCTTGTTCTATGAATTTTTTTAAGTATTGAAGCACTGGACTTTAACCTAGGGTAGCTATACTTTCCCTGCTCCTTAGCCTTTGTGAATATAAAAGATTATGCAAGCTGTGTAATTGTTTTCTTCCTCTGAAATTTATAAGATATCCCTGTAAATTCTTTAAAACGTGAAACAGTTAAGTAACATTTTCTCATTTTATGTTCAATTAAAAGTAGTTTGAATAGGTATAGGAAATTTATATTTTCTTAAAATCCTCTTGACTAGTGTTTGTGTGTTCTTGGAATTAAATAGCATTTCCTACCTCTCTGTCTTCCTTTTCAGTACTTACAAATGAAGGCACCAGACTTGATTCCAAGTTATGTTGGCTGTATAAATAAGTCCTAAACTGGCTCCAAACAGTAGCTATAGCTGCACGAGGGCTATATGTAGTGCCAGGCTCCTGATCTTATTAAGCTTCTGGCTAAGGGCTGTAGGTAGGTCTAAATGGAGGGAAGCAAACAGCTGTGCCACCTGCTCTGCTTTGCTCCAAGTAGCCAGATAAAGTCTGGATGTGCTAGGGTAGTCACAGAGTTGAACAAAACAAAATCCCCCATCTCCTTCATCACCTCTAGTTTACTGGGCTGCACTCAGGGCCGAGCTGTATGAAGTTGGTTTTGTAGCTGGAGGGCATGGAGCTGCCCAGCTGTGTAAGGTGCATTTGGAGCTCAGAGAGCCATTAGAAAATATGTCTGTTTGTGTAGGCATTTCCCACGTCTCCCTTGGGATTCCTATTTGAGTTTTCTAAAATATTTTTTCTGTCTCCTGTTAATTCTTTGTATTGTAGTAGAGCTTAGGGACCATAAATAAAACTAGATTCTTGAAACTGTGATTTTCAATTGAAGTGAGTGACTTACAGGGTGGACACAGGGGATCAGGTGCAGAGATAAAAAGAACCTTTCCTGAGGTAACTTAATAAGCAAGAGGAAAACACAAGGGGTTTGACCCCCAGCTTGGTGCTATTCCAGGATCTCCTGGTCTTCCATCAAAAGAATTTAAAGCCTTATGCAATCAAGGATGCAGTCTGCCTGCATGCCCTGGTCTGTGCTGAAGCCATTGGAGCTACCCTGATGTCCAGGAAATATGTGCTGTAATAATTTTCAGAAGTGACATTTTTTTCCTATCAGACAATAGCAAGTTTTCTGTCTACTGTCTCAGCACCAACAGATTAACTCAAGCTACAGCATAGGACCAGATTGTTCAAATTCAAAATTTTGCATCTGTATTTTAAGAAAACTTTAAGAAAACTTTTTTTTCTGAACATTGCAGCATTCACTGCTAAGTCCATGTATTCTTAAGCAAAGCCAGCCAATACATATATACATATTGTACTGGGGCAGAATGAGCAGCAGCATCATGGCATTTTAGTGTGCATATGTTGTTAGTACTGACTAAAATCAGATTTGCCAAACTGATGCAAGTAGAATTGGTTTTCAAAGTTAAAACATACTTCCCTACTGAGGTTAATTTTTCAGTTGAACAGTTTGAGTCATTGGTGGAGATGACCTTGAGCACTAAGTGGGCAGAAAGAGCAATCCCTTTTTGGGGCATCCAGAATTAAAGGAATACATCTGATTCAATGAAGAGCTTGGTATTAGAATATTATAAATATTCCTCGGAAATAGTTGAAGTTTATGGTTTCCACCACTCATAATTAAGACAAGAAATCATGCTGAACGCATTGGTAAGAACTTACTGTTTCTCTTGTTTCTGCTTCTGCAATTTAATGAGTGCAACTGTCTTAATGGGCTGTGGATCTAAATATACTAGAAAATCTTTAGTTTTTAAAAAAGTGACCTGTTTGACTCAATTTTTTTGTGTCTGCCTATTGAGTCGTGTTTTCTCTTGGACTGGAAAAAAAATACTGGTTAGTTACTGCCTGGTTTGTTGCAGGACCCTAAACACTGGAATCTCAGCTACCATGTGCTCCACTAGTACCATTGATGTGCTCTCCAAAGACTTGGAGCAGATAAAAAGACCTGTTTCCAGTAAAAAATTGCATTTTGAGGAAACTTCTGGTGGAGCTAGGAAACATTATGATAGGAGAATCTTGATTTTTGTCTGTAGTTAATTCACAGTTTATTACTGGTGGTCATTCAAATGGCATTTGACTTGCATTTGCAAAGGCCCATTAGGCTTAACATGTTTATTTGGGGTTTTTAAAATATATAATTTTTTATGTGTAAATATTTCCTAGTAACCATGTTCTTCTCTGTCATACCTGTTGGGGTTTATTTTAAATTTTTAATAAGTTCATAATAAGCAACTAATTTTTCCTGAAGTGAAAAAACAAGAAAGTTAAGATGAGTCAAAAGCTCATTTTGTGTAATTTTATTCCTTATCTACTCTCTTTGCCCCTTGCTACTTTTTGTTTGCTATTCTTTATTTTTGTTGAGCTGTTTGGAATTGTATTTTAATCCAGTACAAGTCTATTCCAGTTACTAGATAGGTTTTCCAAATTTCTGACTATTCACACCCCATGATATTTCTGTCATGTGTGCTTTCAAAATGTAACCTTTTAGCTCATTTTATTAAAAAAAGAAGAAAAAAAAGCATTATAGAGTCCTAGGTTTTGTTATAAAAATAACAAGCATTATTTTCAATTTTTACTTTAACAACTTACCTGTTAGGTAATCATCTGATGCAACCCATTTTTATTTCAACTGAATTGATATGAAAGGATATATAAAGCAATGTGTGCATTAGGTGAATCATTTAACATATTTTAGTTTAACTGCATTTAGCATGTTATACATCCTGGTATGGTGGGAGCAGTAAGTAGTATCTGCAACATTTGCATGCAGTTAGGTAAGAAGATTGTGCTAATATCCAATTCCTTTCATTTTTATATATCAGTATTGTGATTAAAGTACTATTTCTTTCTTTAAAAAGTTATGTTGATGAACCCTGCTTGAGAGTTAATGAAGTCCTGTATGGCAAACACAAGCTAAAGTAGAAGGAAAGTTGAAGTATTTGCCTACTGAAGGCAGTAGTTATGAAAAGATTCTTTTAAGAATATGACATTTATACATAGTTGTAGGTATTATCAGTGTGTAATAACTAAATAGGAAAAAACATTGCTTTGGAGAGTACAGATGCAATGAATATTTATTAAATCTTTCTCTTACCTGTTTTAGAAAAGTTGGAGTTATCTGTTATACAGAAGTCTAGATTCCAGGCTGTGTTTTTTCTCTCCATTAATCTGGACTTCCTGAAATCACAATTCTATTTTGCGAGTACTATTTGTTAACCAAGGTGTCGGGAATATTCCATATGCAATGGCAACTGCTCAGAGAGCACATATCAAACTGCAAGGGAAATATCTTCTATCATTAAGCCACTCCTCTCAGTAAGTCAGGATAATATGCTATTGCCATAGCAGCCTCTGCTTGCTCTTCAGGGAAGGACAGAGGACATCCTCAGTCTAGCTAGGCCTGGGGCTGTCAGGGTTTCCAGCAGTGAAAGCAAAGAGTACAGGGGCCTGGGGCATATATATGTGTGTTTGCACTTTCCCTTTCTTCACCTTTCTTCACTCACAGAATCCTTGTTGCTGCCCTATTACTGGACTGCTCTGTGGACCTCTGTTGCTCTTGTCCCATCGTAGAGCTTCATTCAGACCCTCTATACCCACCTGTCACTTCTTCTGCCTCTTGGTTCCCACATCATTCCAAAGTCTCAGCTTTGTCAAGGAACTCATCTGCCAGCTGCTTAATCCAGAGCTCACATCCTGCCTCTTCTGCCCATAGCCTATGTCTGCTCCGGGTCCTCAAGTCTTCCTCCCCCAAATCTGCATCTCCATCTTCAGCAGCAAACACCAGTTCTGGGATCTTCCTGTCTGCCTGAATGAACACTTCAAATTTTTTACTATTTTCTTCCACTTTATAGCTTCCTCCTGTGTCCAGCCCTTATCAATGCCAAATGTGGACTTGGCAGTTCAACAACCAGCTCAGAGAAATTTCCTCCATCCCAGACCATTTCATATCTCAGTCTTGACACTTCCTGGCCAGCTCCTCATATTACTTCTGTTCTTTTGACATCATCTAGCAGCAGACTGTACTGTCTCCTTGTTAAATGCTGTCCTTCACCTTGCTGCCTGAATTATCTCATCTTCCTTTATCCCCTCTTGGCTTCTGCTGTGGCACTCTCAACCTTGCAAAAGCAAATTCCCATCTCTTGTGCTGGTGAGGTTTTCAATACTCTAAACAATTCTCCAAAGGTAAGAGATGACAGAGAAGAAAAGATAGCCCAAGAAAAACATGTTTGTGGCAAAAATATCGTAAAAGTTTCATCTAACACCAGTGGTGAGAGTAAGCAGAGCTTCTTTTCAAGTGATGAGACACACCAGTATTCTTTGAAAAAAGGTAATATTTTCACAATAAAGTATAATACCATATTATATTATTAAAGTGATTAGGTCTAAGAAAAACATACAGGACAAGATTCTACACAGACTCATAATTTGATTTCCAGATTAAATTGGGGAAGCAAATAATATTTGTCAGCAGACATACCTCAAATACGTCATACTGTCTTGGACATGAAAAGCTGTCTTAGACACAGAGAGGGGAACTTACGTATCAGTCAGTAAACTTTTTTAGCATTTGAAATGTTATGGCTTGTGGTCATTCTGATGCTCTTTTAAAAATACTGCTATTGATAAATTATTGTTGCATTCTTTCTTCCCCCCCACCCCCTTTGGAATGCAAGTATTTGTAATTTTGTAGCAATAATATCTGTTTATGCTTTACTACAGAAGTTTGTCTGCATGATGCTAAGTCTGTCCTCCTCACACACAGTGGAATAATTTGATATAGGAAGAAATACTATATTCTACTGAACTACTAAAGTTCAGTACTTTATTTTGGTTTTAATATGATGTAAACATGTATTTACTGACTGACTAAAATACGTCTCATATTTTTTGTACCATAGGTCAGTTGCTCCGTCTGAAAATGTTTAGAGAGGACCATGGGTCTTGGATGACAATGTTCTTCAGTACCATCCTCTTCCTCTTCATATTTTCTCATATTTATAACCTGTTCCTCATTATGGCGGGGAATATGAGGTAGGTTCCAGAGTTAATTTTTGTCTCTTTTGCTCTAGAATATACTGTAAGCTTTTTTTTCCCTCTGCTTTCTGAATTTAGGTAGAATAGTAATTTAATTGGTTGATTAGCCAAGAGGATAAAAGTATGGAGTCCTAGACTAATGTTAGCAACTGTTAAATCATGGTACTAATGAGCATTAGATTTTTTTTTTTTAATTTAAAATTATAGCTAAACAAATTTGATTTGAAGTTAGGGCTGAGTGATTTACAAGCTTAAGCATCACTATTGTGCCTAGGGAGAAAGTTCAGAGTTAAAAGTAATTGAAACCTCTAAATTTTAGGAAGCTCATGGAGATGAAATGGGTAATATAGTTCTGTTTTGGTTATGTACAAAAATATTTGCTGATCCAGTTTGTTCAGAATATTCTTAATTTTTTTTTTCCATAAGGTGCTCTGACAGAGCAAAATTGTGTTTGGCTGAGGGATGAACAGCCATCTATTATATATAGATTTTTTTTAAATGGACCTCTTTATATTAATTTTCTGTCTTTAAGAACTGCTTTCTCCTATTATCTCAAAATTAGCACCACTTTCATGCGTCGATTTTCCTTAGAAAATCTATATTATTAGTCATTAGTTATTTTGTACACTAATACGTACAAAATGAGTTTATCAGATAAAAAACCCACAGCAATGTTGTTCGTGAAAGGCAGATAGCATCTGAAGACTTTCCAGCAAGGAATAAGAAATCCGAAGTATTTATGGGTTGAAGAACAATGCAAATAATTAAATTCCTCATTCCTAGCAGAATATCAGAGCCATACCAACAAACTGATGATGAGTTAATGGGCTGGGGTGTGGTGTGTTACAGATCTTAAACATGTCAACAAAAATGTGCATTGTTCAAAGTCCTGTAAACAATGTGACATAAAGCAAAAGGTGAGTAGGAGGCAGACTGCCTGTCACTGAGTGAATATAAGCACAGACCAGTTGGGATAATCGTGACATTGTGACATGAAGACTAAATGTATTGGTTTGAGCCAGGCAGGTAAAGCAGCAGACTCATCGACTGTTTTATGAAACCATCACTGTAATGACGTGGTAAATATGAATAGATGCTCAATAACAGGTGGGATAATTAGGATGAGGAAGCAGGGGGCATTGCAGGTTTCTGGCTTCCCTATTTATGTAGTCATACTATTATTGGTATTATGTTTAGATTTATAGTTGGTATTTCTAATGTTCCGTAAACTAAAACCAGCTAGCTTTTAGACAAAGCGATTTTGAAAGCCTGACTCATGTCTGGAAATCAGATTTCATTTGTCCTTGTCCACATTTCTGCTTCCTGTATCTGTTACAAGCTTCCATTAGCTGCACTGAAGAGATTGTGTGGCCATCAGCATCCACATCCATGGAAATAGACACAGCCTAGTACTAAAATAGCTGTGTCAGACCATGTGCCCTCTTGCTTTCTGTGGGATGAAGCACCTCCTTTCCTGGAGCTTATGCCCCAGGTTAGTTGTGATTCTTTTGGGAGGTTCACCATAATGTGCTCACAGCCTTGCATGGCTTTTTTCAAAGTAGGTTGAGGGCTCATTACAGACACGTTGGCTCTCCATTCCAGCAAGAAAGGATATGGAACAAACTGTTTCAGTCTTAAACAACAGAACTTAAATCATCAGTAAAACACAGCTCTTGGATCAGTCCTCTCAAAGTCAGAGTAGAACAATGTGTAGTACTTTTGAAAAGAGGGTTTCTACAACAAACATCTTCAAAGCCAACTGCTCCATCTTGCCTTAATGAAGTGTTTCAAGGAGTGCAGTATTTTTTCCTGAGTAAAAGAATTTACTTCATGGTTTGGACTTCTGTGCAAAAGAACAGCTCTGTCTGTATCTTTTACCACAGTGCCCTACTGAAATGACTGTCAGCAGAGAGACTGGTTTCCAGGATGAAGGCCAGAGTTTGCCTGCATGAAGGTTATGGTGTTTGTGGAGGGAAACTGACCTTTGAGCCTGTGGCCTCCTAGGAAACATAGGCATCCCAGATTATACATCTTTCAATTCAAGGGCTATGAAAGCCTTCCTGTCTACAAGACTAAGTGCAAGACATTTTTTTTTTCTGCTTTTTTTTTGTTTTGTTTCCTCCTTGCAATATCTCTGGATCACCTTTCCCTGGATGCTGGCACCAGAGGGATTCTGACAAGTTTCTTTATGTCAGATGTTTGATCTCATCGATGAAAATCCCTTTCTGGCACAGAAGTAGGAAAGTCTTACATCCTGCATTATGCCAGCAAGGATGATTATAGCAAAAGCTCTTTTGAGGACTTGAGAAACCTGTGATTGAAAGCTCTGTCATATAACCACTTCTAAAAAAAGTGTATTTTACAGATGCCAAAATTTGTTTTTTAAAAAGTGTTTTTAAAAGACATTTCACATGTGTCTTAGTGCAGCAAACCTAAAAAAGTGTGACTATATCCCTTAAAATATGTAGCAGTAGGGGCTGTAGTTTGCAGGAAGAGCACAAGCTGATTATTGTGTTCAGTTCTGGGCCCCTCACTACAAGAAAAACATTGAGGTTCTGGAGCATGGCCAGAGAAGGGCAATGAGGCTGGTGAAGGGTCTAGAGAGCAAGTCATAAGAGAAGTGGCTGAGGGTGCTGGGGAATAAAGGGCACTTAGGGGAGACCCTGTCATCATCTACAATGACCTGAAAGGAAGCTGTAGCAAGGTGGGGTCCCTCTCTTCTCCCAGGCAGCTACTGACAGAATGAGAGGGAACAGCCTCAAACTGTGCTAGGGTGGTCTGTATTGGATATTAGGAAAAAGTACTTCACAGAAAAGGTTGTTGTGTGTTTGAACTGTCCATGGAGGTGGTGGAATCACAGTCTCTGAAAGTGTTCGAAAGGTATGTGGCTCCTGGGGATATGGTTTAGTGTTAAATACACTGCTTCTCATTTAACAGTTGGATTTGATGGTCATGGAGATATTTTCCAATGTTAATAATTCTCTAATTAAATGAGCAAGTTGCTGGTATTTGAATATGTATTATACATCTGTCTGCTGGGTGAGAGAGTGACTATTTGGAATAAAAATTTTGTGACAGATTGAATGTGTTTTTTTAAATTTAAAGTCACTATTTTTTTTCACTGGTGTTTCCTTTTAGGTTCTTCTCAGTGTAGGGCACTGATCCACTATACTGTGGTCACTGTTCTTGTAGTCAGAGGTGAATATCTGGTGACTATATCTGTAATCAAAATACTATTGAATACTTTTTTAAAAAGTGAGGGACTTGGATGTTTATTTATTATCTTAGGTAATTTAGATTCTTGAAATTAAGCAGTGATTTTGAGCTGTGTAACAGATAAGCAACATGGCTTATTTATTAAAGGCTGCATTTGAAATGTAAATGAAAGGAGGAAACTTTCATTTTTCTGTATCAAAAAGTGTCTTGCGGCAAAACCACGTGGTGGCAGCAAAGGGCACAGTTTAAGAAGCTAAATCCCGAGAAAGTATACAGGGATCCTCACTAGCAAACTGTTTTTCTGGGATTTGTCTGTGCCACAAGTAAATTCAGAGCCCTTTATTTATTGTTTCTTTCTTTAAAGGAATTCCAGGTCTGGAACTGTCCAGGGATTCTCCCATATTTTTGTCATTTATATGTGGCTTTTGTACCCTTGACATGCTGAGGTATTCCAAATCTGTACCTACACACATTGAAGTTTTCCCAACTGTATTGCTTTAAGTAGAGAATATATTGCTAAAAAGAAATATATTTTCTCCTTTGGGAGCCTGCACCAGTAAGTAATGCTTTGATGTTTAACTTTACGACACAGTGATGTATTTTTCATATCAATCCAAAAATCAAAGTTGTGCCTCCTTGTCTCACAATTGTCAGCTGTCTTGTCTTAAATGAAGAGATTTTTAGTTGTCCAAAGGATGTTCAGGTACATCATTATTCAACACTGTGAAGTGTCATTGGAATAACAGACACAAATCCATTTTCTCTTTAGCTGTAAATTGTCACATTACTGTAGCAATAATACAATTTGTTGGGATTGTGTTCTTTGAGTGTTGCATATGTCAGGAGAGAGTTTATGTGACTTTATTACCTGTGCTGTCAAAAGGTTTTGGTCATTCTTATTAAGCACTAGGAGAGAGTACATCTTTTTTGGTGTAGTTTTATCTTCTCTTACTGCTCATTTCCTTTGCAGAAAAAGTGTGAAATTTCAATACCATTTACATTACTTGCAGAAGTTCCTTAGGAATAAAAATAGAACTTTAATTAATTTTAATTATACTGATCTAGTGAAATTGGACCCAATTACGATCTGCAGCTGACAAATGCCTGTAAAGGGGTCTTGTGTTTTGTTTAACAAGCTGAAACAAGGAAAAACCTATTTATATATTTAAAAGACACCATAATAGCTTTCTATTAAATACTTTTCCCTTATCCACATTAGTTACTGCTCCTTTTCCTTTTTCCCCAAGATACAGATTATTGTGTCTCTGGAAATGTGTATTTACTCAGAACTTTAAAACTACATGTTGTTCAGGATTCTGTGCTTTAGTTTCTTTGATTGCTCATTAGAGTTAAGGATTAGTCATCATTAGCATAATTTTTGAGCAAGGTTTAGGGACAACAAAGACTTTGTTTTCCTAAGCACAGTTACTATTCTACAGAGCTGCAAGGCCCACAGTGATCTATGTTAGGCCTCCAGTATACTTTCATAGCTGTGTCTACCTGGCCATATGTTTTGTGGACTTTATGATGGTGTATCCTCTGTGTGTATTTGGTGTAGCTGTGTATTTATACCGTAGTCATGCTTAATATTTGGCAAAGATTATAGTGTTATACTGTGAGCTTCACAAAGTTCAAGCTTTTGTGAACTGCTGGAAGGAAACGTTCCAAATCTCTAAGGCCTCTAAGCTGTTCTCAGACACTAATACTTTGGGGCCATCTCTTCTTTCTCAAAATGTACCTGGAAAACAGGAACTTCCTTTGAATGTTTATAGCTTCTAAAC